GGGGGGGGAGGGGAATCGAAATTCGTCTATCTTTTTTTTTTTTTTCTAAACTAAGAGAGACTAGGTAGTTAACTATTCGGTGGAACGAATTCATGAGCGCTTTTATTCCGGAAATAAAAATCTCTGGCACACTTGGCACTCTTTCATCTTCCGATGGGCGCGACCAATCGTGAATATTGCTGTCGAATCGAATTTTTTTTTTTCAAGCACTATTCCGTGAGAGGAATTAATGGGGCTGACCTATAGATATAGTCCAACTTATACGAATCCTCTCGACGGTGGATATGAGATTAACGTAAGAAATCGGCTCGACGGAGAAAGAAATGCTTCTTTTCTGATTGGATACTCTTTTACTAAAGAAGCCCAGTTATTTTACGAGTCCGTTCATTGGAAGAAATAACTTTGACTCGATTTTCGCGAATCTTACTTTAGTAATTGTCCCCTTTAGCCTGATAATAGTACTTACTTAAAGAGAAATAGATCAAATTACGATTACAATAAATTAACAATTTATTCCAAATTTCGATATATAAATGAAGTAAGAGCTTTTCGAATAAGCCAATAGTTTTAGTAATCGTCTATAAGAATACGAACAAAGAAAGAGAAGAGGACCTTAAAAATGTCTGCTTGATGAGCATTGGCTGACAAGATTCTACAAGGACGATTCCCTTTCCCAAAGATATTCTTCCCTCACGTTCGTTCCCAGCACGAACGAGTATTTCTCCGTGTCTCTTGATTCCTCTTCTCTATCGTTACACTTAAATTCCCTTTCCTCTTTCTTTCTTTCTTTCTTTCTTTCTTTCTATTTGTATCTTTGCCATGCTTGCGGCGAAAGAAGGACTCTAGGCACGTCCTACTCCCTCGCACGTATAAAAAAAGGCGACACGAGTCGGCAAAAGAGGCCAGAGCAATCACGTACTTGTGTTTGGAAAAGGGGAAGGAAGAGAGAGAGAGAGAGAGAGAGAGAGCTTCTGGTCGTTCGTTAAGACGCCGACGTAAGAAACACGGACAACCGGACGACAACGGGGAGTGACAGTAACGTTTCGAACAGTCGTAAAGCGAGCTTAATTAGAAAGACCCACTTAAATGTTTAGCTTCTGTCAAAGAATACGAATCCATGCAGTGAATCACAGATATTAGCTCCTAACTCGAGTGTCAATTTGATTATTTTTACAATTTCGATAATATAATAATTATTACTTTTATAGGAACATTGTTTTCTCTTTAAATTCCCCGTATGCACTATATTTGTAAATAGTAAAACTTGCTTTATATAAACACCCGTTATGCAAATTTTCTGTTACATGAACGTTCTATCATTCGATCCGTTTTATTATACGAACAATATCCCAACTAGAGTACTCTAAAGAAATACAAGATGTTCTGCAACTGGTGGTATAAAGCGAGCATTATTATTATTATTATTATGATACTTATATAAATACTCTATACGCATATTCTCAAATGCATTTATTCCCAATTTCTCTTGCCAGTGATAGAATTTTATTTTAGATCGTTCATTCAATCTTATTTTTTAATATAAGATCATATTTATCGATTAGAAATTTATACCGATTAAAAGTTCTTAACCTGTAAATGTTTCGTCGGAATATATAATGAATCGTTAAAATTATACCTTTGACTTGGAGATTATGCTCGTAAACTATTTCTTTCTTTCTTTCTCTATCTCACCATGCAACCGATACTGTAACAAATTTACGCGCGAAATAAAGGAGAAAGATAAAAAAAATGTATAATAGAACGAAAAAAAGGTTTTTCTAATGCGATAAAGAGTCAGCAGGAGTTACAAGGAGAGAACCTCGTCATTCAAGTGAGTACGAGATAACTGGGACAGCATGTTTATATGCTGTAAATTCGTGGTTCGAGATTAACTTTGGTCGTCGTCACTGCAAACACGCACGCACCAACTAAACGCATACACATTTACGATAGTCTTTAAACTCTACTGACATTAAAGTATATATAATAATACATGTACATGTATAATAAGGCAAAAGCAAATGAAAAAAGAAATAGGAAGGAGGTAAAAGAATGAGAAGCTTGTAATTCGTCACAGATCGTAGGAGGGGTCACGCGAGGTTGCCATTAATATTCGATCAGATAATCTTATTTGCCATGCGATTAGAGCGACCTTTCTTCTTCGGCGATATATCTTTCCTACCAACTTCCCGTCACCATCGGTTCTGACGTCACTTTTCAAATGAACTTAACCGACAAATTTTTCCTACCTGTGTTCCTCCCTCCTTCCTTCACCTGTTCCGGACATAAATTTCGCGCTAATCAAGCTCTCTACGATTACGGTACCCCCAACACCGAGAAAGATCTTTGCTTCTAACTCGTAAGCGTAGGAAATATTACCAGACGGCCTCTTAATTTCGAATGAGGTCAGACTGTATATATATATATGCATACTCGAGTATTTTTTTTAAGTCCAGATTTACGAAAAAAAAAGAAAAAAAAAAAGAAAAAATAATAATTTCCCTAGGAAGAACTCGCGGAAGTTATCCGACTAATCTATATTTCGACAGATTTCGTCGATGTTATTTCATTCTATCATGAACTTTGTTCTCCCCGAGTTTCGAGACCAATTTAGGGTTTTTAGCGATATAACGATACTCGTTGAAAGTCCGGCAATTAGCGTAGAACGTACCACGCTAACAATACCGCTTTGTTCGACTTTTTTTTCTTTTTTCTTTTTTCTTTTTTTTTTTTCTAATGAAAGGTAGAAATTCCTCGAGAGAATTCCGAGAGAAAGAGCTTCCTCGTTTTCTTCTTATTAGTTTCTTTTTTCTTTTTTTTTTTCTTTTTTTTTTTCATTTTCTACTCGAGTCGAAATTATTCTTCGACATTAACGCGTGTCTAGAAATATATTTATGTATATGAATAATTTCAACCGAAAAAGGATCACATTGAATATTCAAATTTTTAAATTCGATATAAAAATGTAATACGCGAGTTGCATTTAATAATTTATTAATTTATATATTTTTATATACGCTTTTAATTAAATTTAATATTATTTGGGCGTATGTGTTACGCCAATCGTTTTTTCCATTACAACAACGTGCAACGAATTGTTTTGATAATTTTCCCTGATTCAAACGGCGTTGTTCTGATTCTTTTTTTTATTCTTTTTTAAAGAAAATAACTCGCTCAAAGTGTACTATTTTATTTCCGTTATGCAACGCATAATATCTCTTTACGGTTATCGCGAGATGCAGGAGCCTAAAATGAACGTTGGGGGGCTATTCTCGTATTCCCTTAAATTACCACGAATTTGTCTAAGTTTCCAAGCTAAAAATTCAGAAAGAACAAAAAAGAAAAACGAAAAAAACAAAACGATAGGAGTCCGCGAGACGCGTGGTGTTCTCGGTCCGAATGTAACTGTACTTAACTTTAAAGTGGTTGCGCTTAGAGTCATTACTAAATCTCGTAAATCTTCGAACAATTTATCCGGCGCATTCCGAAATTCTCGAGAGTGCACTATCTCTCGAACACGATGTCCGTAACGCGTAACAGTTTTCCTGAAGCGTATACGAGAAGTTTTGCCCTTCGTACTCCGAGACTCTCATGCTCTCTCATTCCTCTTTCATTCTCTCTCTCTCTCCCTCTCTCTTTCTCTTTCCCATCTTACAACTATCTGCTTTTCAGGTGACCTTAATCTAGGAAATGGCCACTAAGAGCTACTCTCTACAAAAGCGACTCTCCTCTGTGGATAGGAGAAGACAAAGGGAAGAGAGGTGGAAATGTAGGAACTGCTAACACCAGAAAGTACTAGAAACCTTGGAAACATCTCGCACGTATTCGCATTTTCTTCGGTGAGTATCGAAACGTGCGTAATACCTTCCCTAGGTTCGAAATACCAACGTCAAACTATTCGTTAGAGTTTTTTTTTTTTTCCCCGTTACAAAATTGTCTCACGATCTTAAAAATAACAAAGATATAATTATTATTTTTATTTATATTCTTTTTTTTTTTTTTTAAATATTTTTTCTATCTCTACTTATTATCCAACGAGTATTTACTTTAAGATAATACATTAACGAAAGTCAAAACGATAAAGAAAAAGAGTGAATGAGAGAGAATGAGAGAGAGAAAGAAAGAAAGGAAACAAGAAAATCGCATTAAGTAGTTTGGACGGAGTGAGTAAATATTGTGCAGTACTCTACTGTATATTTTCTCGAAGAAAATAAAAGATTGGGAAGGAAAAGTTGTTGAACGATCGCGAACGCGTCGAGCTCGTTTCTGTTCATCGACATTTTCTACGGTAAATATCTACTACCCTTCGTTCTTGGATGCATCATTATCATTTCATCCCTTCCCACCCCTCTTGTTTTTATCCTCGTCATTGTCGTGATCCTTCCCTCGTCTTCGTCTTCGTCGTCGTCGTCGTCGTTGTCGTCGTCGTAGTTTCTTTTCTCGACAAAGCATCCTACATCGTCTAAATCTTCGTCGTGAAAGCTCGAAGCTTCTTACCTCCTTGTCGCGAGTTGAAGGCACCGATGCTTCCTGCGAAGATTAGAAGCAGCACCGGGCTTAATAAGGCTCTCGAGGATGGCTGCATCTTTCTTGTGCTCCTACCGGCGCATGCGCGACAGGGTCCTTCTTCTAGCCTGCTTCCCTCATCACAGCCCTCTCTGTAACGTTGAAAAAACAAAATGGAAAAAAGAATGAGTACACCGGGGCTGGTGGTGGTGGTGGTGCTGCTGCTGTTACTCACGCAAGAGAAGAGAAAAAAACAGGAAAAATAAAGCAAGAAGAAAAAGTGAACAACGTTTATAAAGTTAATCGAGGACCTTCTCGTTTCTCCTTTAAAATGGAATCAAGTGAGACAGTTTACTTAAAAAATTCGTCTTTCTCACGTTTTTCGCGATTATTTTGCTTTTTATTATTTTAAAAATACAATTATTTTTCACGCGTGCATGATTTTCAAAAGAAATATATTATATTTCTTTGAAATCTCTATACAATCATTTATTTTTATCGTAAATCCTATAATCAAAATTGGAAAAAGGTATATGATAAAATCAATACATTTGATATTTTCGATCGTTTCATAGTTTGTGTACAATAACCACAATTCACACGCTTGCCCGTACGAATGCATCCCCGTTCTTACGATCGTAGAATACGACTGGTATTAGCGTATCGCCGAAGATGGCAATTAAGCCTTTGTTCCACTGGCTGATTGCAATTACCGTTGCGGAAGGCGATTATCCGCGTAATTTTTGCCTTTGTAATTTCACTCGTGGTAGAGGCTCGGTGATTAACTCGTTTTCCATTTTTTATTTTTCATTTTCTTTTCTCTACCCTCTCTTTCTTTCTTTCTTTCTTTCTTTCTTTTTTTATTTGTTCTTCCTCTGCGAATCCGGTCAAGCTCGTATAGCAATTCGATTTTAAGTTTCCAGGAGCGTGTAATTTAAAATGTAGGTGGGCAAGAAGCGAGAAAAAGAATATGAGAAAAAAAAAGATAGATAGAATAGTCAGGTAGACATGCAGTTAAAGAAAGAGAGAGAGAGAGAGAGAGAGAAGAGGCGGGGAGGGGGGAGAGAAGGCCAGGGATAACGTATAAATGTAATTATCATGATGGAACGAGTGTGTCATTGTTGGCGCGTATAGAAACGCTCGACGTTTATCCTAACTCCTTTTTCCATCTTTCAATCCCAAAAAGTGGAATTTTCATTTTTCTGAAAGCTTCTTCATTATCCCACCCTTGCGAATTCGTTTAAATTTTACATCGACTTTAAACGTGGCCTGCTTAAATTAGGAAAAACCACGGGACGAAGTCACGTAAGTACTTCACCACTGAGAGCCAAGAATATATCAACATATTATCTTGTTACGATAGGATCTAATATTTTATAGTAACAATAACTAATAATTTATTTGTGAAAACATTCCGAAATGTGATATTTACACCATTATCTTGTAGCATTTCTAATTGATACAATTTCATAGCAATGATCGACTACATTAAACACAACTATGAATAGAATAAACGGGAATCTTTGGAGATTAGAAATCTGTAGGCAGAGTATGTAGGATGATTAGGAAGCTTTTTGTCTACAATTGAATATCATAGAAGACCAAGAGAGATATTCGATTGTCCAGTTGTACCACGAGAGGAAAAAGGAAGAGATGGTAGATATGGTTGTCGTCGTCGTCGTCGTAGTCGTAGCTGTAGGTGGAGGTGGTGGTGGTGGGCAAAAGAGAGACAGGAGGAGGAGGAGGGGAGGGGGAGCGGGAGGAAACCGACGGTGGCCCCGGGGAGCGTTGGGTTTCCATTATGCTAAACCGCAAATGGAGTCCTGCGATCGAGTGTCTCTCTGTACCACCCCCGCAGGCGCGCACAATGGCGCTCGGAATAAGGCTCCTAAGGTGTAATGTTACCCAGAAATTAAATTCGCTCGTTCGTTCGTTCGCAGCGACGCGGCAACGCAACAACGAAGGAAACGTCGGCGACGTTCCGCTGCCTTCTTCTACCTTTCTCATTCCGCTTTTATATTTCTTTTCTTTTTGTTATTTTTTTTTTTATTTCTCTCTCTCTCTCCCTCTCTCTATCACTCTTTATCTATATCTCGTTCCCTTTCTCTTTCTATTTATCTCGTTCTCTCTCAACATCTTCCTTGTCACCTGGCACAAATGAACTTCGCCGCAGCGTATCGTGGCTGTTACCGTCGTATATATTCTCGAGTATACCTACATTTGTATAGATATATATATATATATATACACCATAGAACGGTGTATATATGTGCAAGCGAGAAACAACTCACACGTGAACACTACTCGAGAAAGGACTCCCGTGACATTTGATCTTTTTACGGTAGAGTACTCTCTCTCTCTCTCTCTCTCTCTCTCTTTCCTTCCTTCCCTCCCTCTTTCTCTTTCTCTTTTACTTTTTTCTTCTTGATGACGATTTTTCAGCTTCCGACGTGAACCAAGACCCTTTTTCGAGACGTCCGTTCGATAGAGAGACTTATATCGTGATGGGATTTAAATCGAGGTTTTCTTCGAACGACTTTTCTTCCCTCTTATTTTTTTTTTTTTTTTTTCATTTTTTTTAGTCGATTGATCGACAAACGAATTTATTTGATATGCTACAATCGTTCCCTTTTTTTTTTTTTTTGTCTTCAATAACGAATACTATATTTTGACGATTAAACGTAACGGATATGTTTTGGAAAAGCTGATTCTTCTTCGTAACTTTGAACGATTTCAGATCTCGAACGCGCAAATCAAGTTGCAGAAGCTTTATTGCGATCCTGCAAGCACGGCGAGAACGAGATTAGAACCGATTCGGGGGCGTATCGTTTTTCAAATTAGTACAAAGTTCATTCTTGTGGTCCGTTTCACTATGAAGAAAGCAGTAAGAGAAGAGAGAAAGATAGAACGAGGAATGAAAGAGAAATGAAAGAGATGTTGAATGAAAAAGGGACAGCAAAATTAAGCTCGATCTAGAGAGAGAGAGAGAGAGAGATTTGTTGTAGTATCTCTTTGTGAAACATCCATCATGATTTTCTATCTTCCTATTTACGAACAATACACTCAACTTCAATATCACCGACTATTCGAACAAGATCAAAGATTTATATCGTTCTACCCGGATCGGTATTAAACGCGTAACATGGGAAACAAAAAGAAAGAGAAAATCTACGAGAAAAAAAGTAAGATGAAAAATAATGGACGAATAGGAATGGATATTTGAAGGTAGAGAAGAGAAGAGAAGAACGAGAAGCATCGTCGACGTCTTTCGAAGTCAGGGTTGCGTCAGGGGCGAGGGGGATGGTTACGTCCGTCTGTGGCTTCTCTCAGTAATTAAATTATAATTAAGCTGGAATCCTTTTGTTCTCGTGTCGCCAGCCGATAACGCTTTCGTCTTCTCAAATAATGTCTGTTACTCTTTTTTGGGTTACGCATAATATAAGAAAATTTAATTAAACTTGACATTATGTGGATATTATTAAAATCATTCTAATAATTTAATATTACATATAAAAAATTGATTGAAATGAATTTTGTTTTTTTTTTTCTTAAAATTTGTTCGCATACGCATAATATATGGAATTGTTCTTCTCTTTTCTCTTCTACCGAGTAAAGATCGTAGCGAATTAATTCGTAAAGACAAGAACTAATTGTGCTGCGTACTACTCGAAGAGAAACTACGCGGTAGAAGGAAGGTGAGAGAAGGAAGAAGAGAAGTCTCTAAATCATTTAACAGTTTCACGAGATTAAAAGGTCGAATAAGAAGAAGAAGAAAAGAGAGAGAGAGAGAGTGTGAGAGTGAGAGAGAGAAGAAAGAAAGTAAGGAAAAGACCAGATGAAAATCTCTGAACCGAAGAAAGAAAATAAGCGAAGTAGCTGGCAGTTAAAAGAAAAAGCATAAGAAAAAGGTATAAAATGTTCTATAGTAAATTCGCTACTTGATTTGCAACTCGCGTTCTCGCGATTTCCTAAGTTACGATGCTCTAGGAAAGAGCGTTCTCTTGTCCTGTTTGCTATTTACCAGATAAACTCGAAGAATTATGCAGTCGGACGTTCGTCTCGACGTTGTTTCGAAAGAGGAAAAAGCTAAGACCTAAGAAAATTCATGTCCTCTTTTCTTCTCGAAATGCATTAATCCGATATACGTAAGGAATAAGTCTGAAAGAATTTCGAGAGCCACTTTAGCAAACCTATTCTGATTTCAAGATACGGAGAGAGAAAAATCTGCAAATTTATAGAAAGAAAAAAAAAAAAGAAAGAAAGAAATGAAACGAAAAGGAATGAAATTTGTTTTGAAGATTTTATTATAAATTTTCCAACGCGTAATAGCATAAGCTTCTTTTTGATCTTTTTTATTTATCCTTTTTTTTTTTCTTTTTTTTTGATAGAAAAACCAACGGAAAATTTAATGGCCTGTTTGCAGCAATTTTTTTTTTTTCAAAACTCATCGTTAAACGTTACTTACTAATCTTGATTAAAATTAATATGTAAATTGTTGCCGTAGAGATAAGAGTATTTTTGATAATTAACGAAAACGAAGTACTCGGCTATAAGCGAACAAACGGACCGAGTAAAAAAGGCAAAGTAGCAAAAGAATAAAAGAGAGAAAAAAAAAAAAAGAAAAAGGACAGGGGGTATCTTATCCACCGGGAAATTTGCACACTTTTGTTGGTTGAAGTACGTCAAACTCGGTACGTTCTTTTAATCTTAGCGACGCGTCAGGAGATCGGCCATTTGCCAGACGAGATTGAACAACATTCGTAGCGTTGATTCGCCGGTTATTATGGTCGACGCGTATGGTGGGTGGCCAGGATGGGAGTATGGGGTGGCAGAAGGCGTGGTCGTAGGGTGGACGAGCAAGAAAAAGGAAAGAGGAAGCAAACTCCCTGGGAAGTTTGAGGAACGATCGCGAGAAGCCAAGCCACGATTGCGAAAGCGTTAGCTCGCATCTACCAGATCGACTTTTCCCTCTCGAAAATACGATCTTATAGGAACTTTCTTGGCTTGGAGATCTTCGAAATCGCGGCAGGAGGAGCATTTCTTTTAAGGATTTCGTAGGAACGCGCTCGCGATCGATTTTACCGAGAAGCACACACGAGGTAAAAACTTTGTGAAATCGTGCTTCCTAGAAAGCTAGGGTCCTTTCTTTCTT